GAGTGTCATGTGCCAGAGTGGCAACGCGGGCTCAGGGTAAAGCAAAAACGAAAATCTGCTTGAACTCAGATAGGAAGGCGTGCAGTTCCGCCGAGTTCTCGAGTCGCTCCCCTCGAAACGCGGCCAACTAGGCATCCCTCACTCGAGGCAGAGTCCGGAACGCGCCGGCCCATATGCGTCCCACGGTTCGTGACGTAACTGGGCTTCATATTCGCCGCGTCTTAACGATTGTCCAAGGACACCAGCGGCGCGACGAAGAGTCCTTGAAAGGGGCCGGCCGAGGCTTGGCCGCACAACGCCTACGCAGCACAGCGCGATAGAGAGACGCGCTGCTGAAAATCCGTTTCCAGCGTGTCAACCGAGAGCGCCAGTTTTTAACTGTCGCTCAGCCTTGCGCCGCGAGAGATACGTGGCCGAGGTCCATGACATAATATTAGGGCAAGACAGTTATCGAAACACCGTGCGCGGGCAATGGTGGTTCACAAACTATTACGATAATATATGGCTCAAGTGGCTCTCACGTTTCACCTCAAACTTTCTCTCGAGAGATGATATTTTACGATTTTTTGTTGTCTCCAGCTTCTGTCGTCAAATCCTTGTCGTCGCACCCGCGCATACTGCACGGGCCTTGTACAACTTCGCTTGCGTCAGAATTGCATAGAGTGTCAGTCAGAAGAGTACAGAAAAGACTTATCAGGGAAGCTGCAACCTCTGCACATTCACGATAACGTGACGAGAACGAGATGTAGCAGGCACGTGTGGCGACATATGAGAGTTTTCTGGAAAGGTTTCAGTTGAATCAGCGAATTTTCTGCTCGTGGAGACCTGTCTCTATACTCGTGTCAAGGCCAGTTCTGGCCCGTTGCGGCACCAGCGGTGCCATGGGACAGAGCAGATAAGGGTTCCTGGAACCCTGTCACAGTGTCACACACTCGCTGACGAGCACATTCACGGCGAGCGTTCTTAAATTTCTATTGCGGGCATGTTTCGTGTACTCTACCATACACAAGGGAAGCTGTCAGACGTGCATTCTGTTTTCAGCGACGTGCAAGTGACTGGAAACAGAAAAAAAATATCACAGCATATCGACGGAGTGAATGATGATAAGTGGGGCGAAGCGTCCGTACGTGTTTCTGTCCGTCAGTCCCTCCGCGCATGCGTCCATGCGTCAAATCGCGCTCGAGAATGCAGACGGCGCGCTAGTAACACCAACGAGACGCGAGCCAAGGAAGCCGAGCGCAAGCGTCTACAACGCGCCCGCCGCTCTGCTTCGTCCACGCCCGACCTACGACCCGCCACGAACGGCAACTATTGAAAAGACTGAGGGAGGCACTCCTTCCTCGCGCACCCAGACACAACCCGCACAGCAGCCAATCGGAGAGTAGCGGTTCAGCGCCATCTAGAATATCCTCTGAACAGCAGTTTGTATGTACTTCTATGAGACAGCACCGTCTATTAAACTGTTCGAGAGATACTGCCCTCCTTTTTTTGTCCCCCTTCGTCTCTTCACTCGGTTATGCGTGAAAAAGTTAGACTAAGATGAGCTTCGTCCCTAAAAGAAAAAAAAATGCATTAGTTGGAGCTTGACTCGAGAACTTATTTAATCAAAAGCGCGATCACAAGTAACCTAATGTAGGTCCTGCTAAATGATAGTACCGCGCACAAGATCGGGGTGTTTGCGATTCCCCTGGGGCCTTTGACGTAGAGCGACCATTAAGCGGTGGCCCGAACAGCCCGCACGCTTGTCAACTGGTACGCTGCCATGTATGCACAGGCAGCTGGCGTGCAGGATCCATGGTGCTGCCACCTCCTCCGTTCCACCCGGAAGCCGCCATCGAATGGGGACCATGCAGATGCGGACGACAGCCGCTGCCGGCCGACGACTCGGCCGTCGCAAAGCGGTTCCTGCTCCGCGCCAGTCGCCTGTCACATGCGCCCATAACTCACGCTGCCATGAACGAAGGCCCTTTCAGGGCGAGCTATGGAACGATCATCTATAGGAGCAGCAAGACAGCTCGAAGGTCGACTGTTCTGCTCCAGACTGCATGTCTACAGACGCTCCCAACAGGACGCGTCTTATACCTGATCCGAAGACCTTGGTTTCAGTTCAGCTACTATTTTGGTGGTTTCCTTCCCTCGTTTCGATCATTTCCTTTCTTAGATCTTTTTTATTAGTTTATATACACATTCATCATAATGTTGAGCTATCTTTCGTCGTTAACCGAGACTAATCAGAAAGGGCGAAGGAAACTGGAAGAAAGGGATAAAGAACGCAAGACCAAAGCTTTAGAGTGTAATGGCATCCCATCTAATCGTGCTGATGAACACACGTAACCGAACGTAGTACATCAATGTATATGAACTAGCGTAAGAACAAAAATAAAACGAATTGAAAGGGTGCACTTAATTTATAACACAACCCACAAAAAAGGCTCAAGATCCGAGCAAGCAATATATATATATATATATATATATATATATATATATATATATATATATATATATATATATATATATATATATATATATATATATATATATATATATATATATATATATATATATATATATTCATTGCAGTAGCTGCCCCATAGCAACAGACTCTGCGAGATTGGTCCTAATAAAAATGTAGGAAAAACATGAGGAAGCCTATATTCCAGTAAAAGGGCGGAAGGTTGCATTCAAGGAAAAAGAAAAGTTGAGTGCACGGGAATGACACTTATGTAATCCATGAGAACGCCAGGAATTAATGTAAACGTAAAAAAAAATGAGAGTGGACGTAACGAAGTCGGTTTGGAGGCATAGAGAGCATCATGATAAAAAAGTAAAAAGGAGGATACCGTCTCTTTCAGTGCACGATCGTCCATCTCTTTGCACGCACGCACGCACGCACGCGCACACACACACACACACACACACACACACACACACACACACACACACACACACACACACACACACTCGCACAAACGCACAGACAGACAGAACGCGTTATTCGAAGGTCGTAGGTTCGATTCCTGCTCACGGCAAGTAATTTTTTCACCCACTTTTCTTTCTTCTGATTTACATTACGTTGGTTCTAATAGTTTCCCTTATACATTCCTTGGCGTTATTGTCTGTTGGATCTCGTTAATATTGTGTCAAAACACGGAAAAACGAGCCCTTATGTATACACTTCTTTCCTGATATATATATATATATATATATATATATATATATATATATATATATATATATATATATATATATATATATATATATATAGCCCGGTGCCATTCTCGACCAGTGGACCATACACTATATATATATATATATATATATATATATATATATATAGCCCGGTGCCATTCTCGACCAGTGGACCATACACTATATATATATATATATATATATATATATATATATATATATATATATATATATATATATATATATATATATATATATAGTGTGTGTGTGTGTGTGTGTGTGTGTGTGTGTGTGTGTGTGTGTGTGTGTGTGTGTAGGGGTGAATGGTCTTAATCGAAGACATCTCGTAAGCTTAAATTTTTGAACGGCTAAGCAAATGCTTCCAGTTCTCTGTACAAACCAGGAACGCTTATATACAATTCAAGGCAACAAAGCTGCTTTTCGAGAATTCCATAGTGTAAAAGAAGGTGATTTAAATGGTCTATGTATCGGGGAACATATAGAAAAACAAAAGAAAGAAAGAAACGTTGCTTCGCGATCAGTGACGAATAGAGGGGGACCCATCTCCGCGCAACGATGCGGCTGCCCAGCACCGCCTAGATGTTGCACGTACTCACGGGGAGCGCGTCATCACTGCGCCGGCTCCGCAGCGCACTGTAGAAGGAGACCGGTTTTGGCAGTCTATCCGGCGAGCATGCTCGGGGCGCAGCATCACATTGTTTCCGCGGCCAATGGCTCGGAAGAAGGATGATGCGACTGCATTCCACGCTCGTCAGAAGCCGCTGCTCCGACTGATGCCCGCGGGTCAGGAGGAGGAGCGGGTGCGCCACGCGAGAAGTTATGTTATTGCGAGAAAGGGAAGGCGCTGATCTGTACGTAATGATGGGACGTTACCCGGCATGTTCATTCCACTTGTTGGCCCTTCGCTGCATTTACTTACTTGATGCACCCTCTTCGGTAAAATTAGGGTGTGAGAGCATTAAAAAAAAATGAGAATGTTGAATCGAATGGAGTCCTATTCGATATGACACAATGTAACCGACGAACCACTATTCTTAGGCGCCAGTTTTTTTTTTTTCTTTCGAGTAGTTTGCGCATATTTCGAATATTCAACGGCAATGAAATCAACGCAGAAATGATGTGCAGCATAATAAAACTTGATACATATATTACGTAGTCATCATCATCATCGCCGGTCCATCTTAGAATGCCCACATGAAGACATCTCCTAATGATCACTCAACGCACTGTCTTGCCAACGCGAACAGCGCAAACGATCCCATTTTACACCAGCAAACTTGACTTCGTCGCTCGACCTAAACACTTCTTTTCACCTACAATTCTTTCCTTCACCTAAACATTTTGTAGTTCCTCGGTGGCGCCTCTAATCTTTTTGCATACATTGCCGCAGCTATCTGTCCTTATCATGACGTGATTTACACAGGCCCATTTATTTTATACACAGAAAACTAGAATATCGGCTACACCTGTCTGTTCTATGATACAACCTACTGCCTTCCCATCTTTCAGTATCAGTATATTAAATTCAATTGCACGCCGTGCGATTATTGACTACTCGAGTTTCTTATTAAAACTGGCAAAAATGCAATGACTGTACAATCTTCGCTTTAGCGGTAGTGGTAAGTTGCCGATGATGAGTTGAGAATGCCTACCGTATGCACATCCGCTTATTCTTTGGTTAATTTCTTTTACATGAGCGCAGGCTAACTTATTCGTATTTGACCTACATACATGTGTACATATGCCGGGTGTTTCAAAAAAATGTGTCCAATATTTTTTTTTAATCTACAGAAAGGAGGAATCTGCGTGCTACTTGGGGCAATGCCTGGCCTGTGGCAGAAGGCATCTTCAGGTGTGTACAAATATTAATTGCGGCAATAATTATAGAAATTAACACAATGAACTTTTTAACCAGTGGTGATAGCTGGTCGAGTCAAATGGGTGAATTCAAGCCCTTCCTACGAATAGTCCATAGCCACTTTGAAATTTCGGAAAAGCGGCTACTGTTAATCACTGCGGAGCGACGCAATGAGCCGAATTTAGCCGGAGAAAGAGAAACCGACGCACCAAACAGCGCATCTACCACTCACTTCGACTACATCCTCAATGACGACACGGTTTCTCTCGCATTGGGGAAGAAGAATAAGCGAGCGCCGATAAGCGGCCTCAAAGCGAAGCGTATAAATTGACGGTTGATAACGGCGAGGGAAACAGTGTCGTCACTGAGTGCGTTGTCGAAGTGAATAGTAGATGGCTGTTTGGTGCGTCAGTTTCTGTTTCTCCATCAGGATAACCACTAGAAATCAGACGGCGATACCCTTGGTTCAGAAGATAAGAGTCCTGCAGGTCTCTGGATCGAAGCCAGGGGAACCAATGGGGAAGCTGTAACGCGCCTGCAAAAGAAAGTCATGGCGGCCGTTAGGCTAATACAATGAGTATCCAATAAACGAAGGGGCATTAAAGAAAGAAACGTTGTACGACTCGTCCAGGCCTTCGCGATCAGCCATGTCGCGTACGTACCGGCGTTCGTCCACTGCAACAAAGTCGAGAAAGACTCAGTCGACGCGCTGATTAGAAAAGCGTATACAGAGCTGCGCTGGGTCTAGCGCAATACACAAAGAACGAAAGGCTGCTACAACTCGGAGTACATAACACGCTGGACGAGATTGCTGAAGCACAAAGGATAGCGCAACTCGAGCGATTGTCTGGAACCGTGGCGGGTAGAGAAATTATGGGAAAAATTTCCATTAATTACCACGGAATGAAAGGTCGCAAGACGCAGATTCACCCAGACGTCCGGTCCGCGATAATTACGGAAAACATCCCAAAAAATGTGCACCCGGTACACAACGTTGAGAGACGAAAATGCCACATGGAAATGATACTTAAAAAGCACGGCGCGCGGGAGAGTGTGCTTTTTGTAGACGCCGCCCGGTATTCCCGAAATAATAATATCAGTAATAGGGTTGTGCATGGCTCCTTCTTCGCAATGGCGGTCATAAACACAAAAGTGAAGACCGTGACCGCGGGCTTCGTAAGAACCAGATCGTCGGAGGCAGCGGAAGAAATGGCCATTGCACTGGCCGTAGTCAATGGTCGAAAGCACGACAGATTAATAATCAGTGACTCCAAGATGGCCATTAGGAATTTCACAAAGGGATGGGTCTCCACCAAAGCAGCCAAAATCCTGAACCGCAGAGCAGAAGACTTCCGGGACGGCAAAATTGTACCCGAATACGTCAAGTGGATCCCGGCGCACATGGGGGAAATTAAACATCGAAGACACGACCATCCCTCAAAACTTCAACGAGAAGGCCCATCGAGCCGTGCGAGAACTCACCCACCACGGCTCGGACAGCGACGGCCCGGCCCCCCGCACCGACCACAGAAGGGGGGACAACTCCGGTGGAGGCGATGGGGACGATGGAGGTGACGACAGTAATGAATATGCGATACAAGACGACAGAGGCAGACTGGTCACGTATCATGACATATTGGCACACTATAAGCGACAACGAGAAGAATATCCGCCACCACACAAACAGCTAGACAGATCTCAAGAAACAAATTGGCGAAAATTGCAAGCCAGAACCTTTTCAAATCCAGTACACCTGAACAGAGTGAATTCCAGACAATACCCACAAACAAGCTGTACCCTCTGTAAGCACGAACATGCAGATATGGCATATATTCTATGGCAATGTACAGAGGTCACAGTAATATACCGAGAGGACAATATAAAACCGGACCTTCTCGAGGAGTGTTGGCTAAGTGCGCTGACTAGCTCAGATCTGCACGACCAACTGTGGGCAATCCAGCGGGCCCGGACAGCGGTGGAAAGGCTACGCCTCACCGCACAAAACGTCGGTGTGGCCTGTGCTCCGGGCCGGTAACCCTGCAGGGTTTCTTTTTAAAAATTCTTTAATAAAGTTTTTTCGTCCGTCCGTCCGTCTGTTTGTCCGGCTAAATTCGGCTCATTGCGTTGCTCCGCGGTGATTACCAGTGGCCGCTTTTCCAAAAAGTGGCTATGGACTATTCGTAGGAAGGGCTTGAATTCACCCATTTGACTCGACCGGCTATCACCACTGGTTGAAAAGTTATTTGTGTTATTTTTATATTTACTGCCGTAATTAATGTTTGTCTACACCTGAAGATGCCTTCTGCCACAGGCCAGGCATTGCCCCAAGTAGCACGCAGATTCCTTATTTCTGTAGATTTGAAAAATATACACATTTCTTGAAACACCCTGTATACCCCTTCTAAGGATTCTGCGTTGTTATATCACTCTTTCACCGGAATACCTATAATGATCTTATTTTTCTGTAATATTCATCTTCAATCCTATTGAAACGCTCTTTCGGTTTAGAGTTCTTCAATCGTGTTTTGCAGTTTGCCCTCGTCCTTGCCGAATGATGTTGTCTGGAAGATAGCTGTGATATATTCTCTGTTAATATTGATGCTTGTTTCTTCCGGATCAAGTAATTTAAATACTTCTTTTAAACATGCAGCGAATAATAATGCAACGATCGTATCTCCTTGCAGGGCTCCATTCTCGTGCGGGATGGGATGTTCCTGTATTTGAAGAGAAGCAGAGTAGCTGTGGAATCTCCGTATATGTTTCAAGTACTCCTTGCCAACGCAATGCCTCCTACACTACCGGTATTCCTAATGAAAAAAGTTGTCATCTACGAATACATATGTCTTTACTTTAAGTTCGGCAGATTTCACAATTATGCTTTGCACGTATACTACACGGAAGCGATCAATATAGAGTACACTGAGTGGTGCAGCAGCCGCTGGTGGAGCCAGACCTTGACGGTTATATCAACGACTATCCGTGCTGTCTGACGAGCTTTCTGCTTTTTTTTGACGAGCTTTTTTTTTTTTTGAAGTCAGCCTACTTGTTCCCGACTGGCCGTTCGCGCCTTTAATATGAACATTTTACGAACAGGATACAGAGTGAAAGTGATTTCACATCAACTGTAAGAAACCTCAGTTCACTGACACTCCATTCGCTTCCGGCTATATGCGATTCGGTCTCAGAAACAACCATTCGCGCACGCCTGCTAATTACAGGGTTTACCACAATTGGAAGTCGCGCAGAGAAAGAGAGGGGGGGAGGGAGAGGGGAGGGAGAGCGGCCTGACTGAATGTAAGCGTTAATTGTCTTTCAAGAGGATACTGTGGCCTTTTGTGCCGGCGGGCCACGGAAGAGATCAGCCCGTTGACGGGGGGCGCACTTCCGGGTGCGGGACTTTTTGGGATCCCGCCAGATGGGACCGGCTTGTGTGCCGGCCCCGTCGGCAGGCGCCCGTGAGACATCGGCGCGTGGGCCTCGCGCAGCGTGCGTGTAGTGGCGCTGTTTGGGCCCACGCTACAGGGCGAGCTGCTTTCACTTCCACACCCCTACACAACACAGCAGCCGTCTCAGAAAGAGAACCTTCAGATTTGAGGCGAAATCTTTTTCAGCGCGCGCGATCGGAGGTCACGATGGAGGCGGAAATGCTGTAGGGCCCGTGTGCTCAGATTTGGGTGCACGTTAAAGAACCCCAGGTGGTCGAAATTTCCAGAGCCCTCCACGACGGCGTCTCTCATAATCATATATGGTGGTTTTGGGACGTTAAATCCCACAAATCAATCAATCAATCGATCGGAGCTCACGCGAGCTCGCAAATTCTCATTATTTTATATATGATAAAGCACGCTGTGCCGACGGATCTCGTACCAAATTTAAGGAGCACTGGAACAACGCGACGGCACAGTGACACCACGGGGCTCTGTGCTCCTATATTGCGTGTCCTTGTTCAGTGGCGCTGGTACGGCGTAGTACTAATTGTTAACCAACTAGCCTTCGGCAATGCGTTACTGATGGACTCGGGATCAATTCTGATATTCCAAAGTGAGCGCACAATGCAAGGTTAAAATATACACGAGCGTTTTTGTATATACTATACCGCTCTCGTCTGATATCAAACCCGCGGCGTCATGCTCCGCAGCGCTAAACAGTGAAGTGGACCATCATGCCTGGCGGCTGTATACATTACGGATGAGTATGCCTGACTTGTATAGCGCGTAATAAAAAACACGCAGAAGCGAGGCGCACGCTAACGCAACAGTTGTTAATTGTTTAGTAAAGGCAAACGAAAAGGGGGAAACTAGAGAGAGCCATCGCACTCTTTCTGTCATTAACTTATTGAGACAAGTGTTTCGAATGGCTAATCTAATTCAGATGTTCCTTGCAGAGACCATAATTAAATTAGCATTTGTGTACTGCAGCTATTGACGGCGCGAAAAAGAAACTTGAAACTGCAGGCAAATCACTAACGAACACTCTGAAATGTTTTCAGCTGCGCATATTAGGTTAACTATACTTCTGCTCAATGTTCCAAGAAGTAATTTGTTAGCCGCGTTTGCATGGTTCCGCTGTATGCCGATGATCCAGGCAGCGAGAGGAGTAAAACTTATTGACCAAATGAGCGGCAAGGGAACTTGAAGATCATGCGGACTTTCTTGTATACTCGGGATGCGCATTGAGAGTGATGAAGCAGCAACTTGAGAATCAAATACGAAGTCGAATTAAGCGCCGTCAGACAATTAGATTGAATGTAGAGAAAGGCAAAGACATCTCGCGCTCGAGGGCAACTGAAAAGCCGCTCTTTCGTTCGCTTTACGATATAAAATGTTCACAGTACAATCGACAGCACATACAAGAAGCTACGGTAACCTCTGTCAGTGACGTAGTGAGTAATACATTTCAGCAAAAAGAAAAAGCGTTTCTACTTGAGCTCCAATTATGCGACCAATGTAGCGGTTCAAGCAATGGCAAATTATTTATTTTAATATTTTCGCTTTCGTTTTTTGCAGCTGTGCCACCGCTTGACGCGTAATAAAGTGCGTACATCGAACAGAATCGAGACTTCAGGATAACTTTTGCGGCTTTTCGTCAGCTATAGTACAGGCGGCCCTAACACGTGGCACGAAATCTATTTGTATCGTACAATGTATCGCACGTCTGAGGTATACCTGTGAAGCGAAAATGTGAATTTTATCCTGTCCAGCAGCGCACGCAGAATAAAATAGTAAGTTTTCACCATCGCGTCTCGGGACATTCATGAACAAGACGGACGACCTCGTATTACTGCATGCGGCAGATCGTGTACAACTGCAGCACGGCTACTGAGGAAGTCGTGCCGCAGCTGCACAAGACAAGCTGCATCGTCCCGCTGATCCGTGAACCTATTATAGAATGGCGGTGTTTTCCCCGCGCTTTCAGCCCAAAGCCGGCTCGCAGTCGCGGTCTGCAGCTTAGCCCGGCCACCACACCCCTTTGCTGTATACTTATACATGGTCTTGATCAGCTTTCTCGCTGTTCCTTGTCCTCTTTTTATTTCGTTCCATATTTTTCTCATTCTGCAACGCAGCCATGTTCTCATAAATGCTTGTTCGGCTACCGAGGAGAGGTTAGGACGCTCTCCTCAGGACTCCTCGTTTTACCATCCTGCTTATACTTTTCATCATCTCGCTCCGCTCTTTCCCTCTATAAGTCATCGCTTTCGTTCGCGTCTGCCGTTGATTCCTGCAGACGCCTAGTTTTTGTACACACTATACGCGGATTAAATGGAATTCTAGCTCGGCTATTGAAAGTGTAATTTTAAGTTTCAGTTATATGTCGTGTGCTTACTTCCGTCATTCTATCGCCCCCCCCCCCCCCCAGTCCCGCTTTGGAATCCGCGGAATTTATGATCGCTTTATCTAAGCCTCAATTGTTGGCGCTACAAGTGAAATAAAGGAAAATAGGCCTGCCGGCGGCCCCGTGACTCGTTTCTCGCACTATAATACTGCAAGTGAACCGCAAAACCTATAGTCGGGAATATTTATTGGTTCATTCACGAAAAATGCCTGCATGGTGTCAGTACATTTCCTCTGGTCAGAATGTGCGACGCAGAGTAAGCGCTGGTTTGCGGCGCTCTTTGGCGACGTTTACGTGACGAGGCCGATCAGACGCAACGCCATAAAACGCGCTTCTGTGCATTTACATGGAAGTAAAGCAGCAATCATTCTCAACGTGCTGTACTTCAGCTGAAAAGGAGGAAGAAATCCCCACGCAGAATTCCCTTTCAGTGGTTGGTGATGCGTGGCGTTTTATTGTGGCAAACTGTGTGTTTCCGGCCTGGGACGTTGGCGTTGGGCTTCATCGGTGCGGCGTCTTTCATCTCTCTAGCGTTCGTCGGTGTTTGGGGCGGCCCGACGCAAGGCACATACCGCGACCACCTAAACGCGGGCTCCTCATTTAAATTTCTTGCACAGCCAGAATTGTCCTCATAAGTGCAATCCTCCATATCGGTTTTATATGTTGCCCTATACAAAGAGCTTTTACTCCACAATAGTGAAAGACTTTGACAAAGCCCTCATAAAACATAGTTTCCTTGCTTATTCTTTTTTTATCGACGATGAAATGTGTTTGTACGGTTTTATACATTCACATTGTAAAAGCGTAGGGCCCCGTCGGCGAGACATTCCTATTCAGTGGGCGGGGCCCAAGGCTCGGGAACCAGCACCGCCAAAAAATATATCGTTTGATACATACATGTATTTCCTCATAGAAATTTGCCCTGCCAGGGATGAACGGGCGCACAGGGTCGGCATAGAAGTGCTTACGCGTTTTATTAAATATGACAGGCTGTGTGCGAGAGCTAAGTTTGAGATAAGCTGCGCCGTTGTCTCATGAATATGCTAGAGTTCCTCCGATATTTCATACAGGCTTGGTTTCCTTTATTAACTCTGTATAGAGGTACGAGCAGCGTCACCATGCGCGTCGTAGTGACTAAAACCAAAGCCGGGAAAGGTCTCATCTGTCTTAATTTTTGCCCGTCTTATATGAGGACGGCCAGTCAGGAAAATGTCATAGAACCTCACGACAGGCCACGTTAGCTTGAAAGAAGTACGTACGCACACATGATCCACAAAAAGGCGACAGTGGTTTGCATAATGGTACAATGTGCAATGTTTCCAATATAAATCGGGAGGCAGATATAATTGTAACGAGAACCTTTATTAATCATACGCACCGTGATTGCATGCTAAGAGCAATCTCTTTACTTCTCCCTCTTTCTTTTTGTCCATTTTTTTTTTCTATGAAGGATACGTATAACGAGAATATAGTAATTCACTCTCAGGTCTCACCGATACCTAAAAAGCCAAGCTTGCAAGGAGGTGATCATGGCTGCTGCCCGTTCCTGGGCTATCGACACTTTGAGGCTACTATAGCACCCTTGTTGGGACATTCTTTAAAGGTTTATACATGGCCCCGCCATGGTGGTCTAGTGGATAAGGTACTCCGCTGTGCTGACCCGCAGGTCACGGAATCAAATCCCGGCTGCGGCGGCTGCATTTCCGATGGAGGCGGAAATGTTGTAGGCCCGTGTGCTCATATTTGGGTGCACGTTAAAGAACCCCAGACGGTCGAAATTTCCGGAGCCCTCCACTACGGCGTCTCTCATAATCATATGGTGGTTTTGGGACGTTAAACCCCACAAATCAATCAATCAAAGTTTATACATGGGCCTCAGCGATATAAATATGCATAATCATGTGCAGGGCTCTCCTTCATAGATGGAGCTCAAAGCACTCGATTCCCTCCCTATTATGTCAATGTGTCGCGCTGACTTTGCGCGCCCCTTCCTCCCCTCTCATAGATGACAATAGTTATTTA